TGTGATAGCAACCTTGCAATTTTCTAGCTCAAATCTCTTCAGAAGCTCCAGTTCATACTTCTTCTGATGTAAGATGATTCCTTTCTCAGAGCATATAAATTCCATCCCTAGAAAGAAACTCATTTTTCCAAGATCTGTCATCTCAAACGCATTCATCAGAACTTTCTTGAACTCAACTGTTTCTTGTTCAAAACTTCCTGTGAGTAATATGTCATCAACATACAAACAGAACATAATCATATTACCTTCTGAAGTGTGCTGAACATAAACACCATACTCCATCTCACACTTCTAAAACCCTTGTTCCTTGAAAAACGAATCAATATTCAAATTCCAAGCTCTGGGCGCTTGCTTCAGTCCATACAGAGCTTTATTTAACTTGTATACCATCCCTTCCTGATTCTTTTTCACAAATCCAGAAGGTTGTGACACATAAACTTCTTCTTGTAATGGACCATTCAGAAATGCATACTTCACATCCAGATGTATCAAAGGCTAATTTCTGTTTGCAGCTAAAGCAATCACCAGTCTGATTGTTTCGTGTCTAGCTACAGGCGCAAACACCTCAAAGTAATCTAGTCTAGGTTTCTAAAGAAAACCTCTGGCCACTAGTCTCGCTTTGTGTTTGCCAATTGATCCATCTGGCTTTAGCTTCTGCTTGAAAACCCATCTGACGCTGATGGCTTTCTTGCCTTTTGGAAGTTCTGTCAGCTTCCAAGTCTTGTTTCTTTCAATAGCCTCAAGTTCTTCTTTTATGGCATTCAACCATACTTTCTTCTTGAGCGCTTCTTCAATACCCACTGGTTCAGAATCTACTAGCATGACACACTGAACGATTTCTCCTTCAGAATCTACTTCAGTATCATGCAACATGCTAAAATCTGCAAACCTACTTGGTATTCGTCTGATTCTCTGTGGCCTCTCATCTTGTTCTAAAGCTTCTCCAAAACTCGGAACTGTGCTAGCTTCTGGACTTTGTCCATAATTATTTCCTTCAGAATTACCACCTTCAGAGTTACTTCTGGAAACTTGTTCTCCAGACCCCATGTCTTCAGAGTTTTCCCTTCCAGAAGTATAATCACCACCAGATTCTGGATCATCATCAGAATCTGGATCAGAATCAGATCCACTATCAGAATCTCCCTGAGATTCTGACTCATCTTCAGAGTCTTCATCTTCTGACTCTGACTCGTCTTCAGAACTTTCTGAAGGATCTTCAGAAACTAACCCTGGTGTTGGCGCTACACCAGAATCTGATTGAAGCTTGTTCCAATCCCATGTTTCTGACTCTTTCACAATGACGTCTCTGCTGATCTCAACTTTGTTGGTTTCTGGACAATAAATCTTATAGGCACCTGTACTGTGGTACCCCACCAGTAACATTGTTTTGCTTTTATCATCTAGTTTTCGTCTTCTAGCCTCTGGAATGTGTTTGTAGCATACATAACCAAACACCTTCAGATGGCTAACACTTTGCTTGTCTCCAGTCCATTTTTCTAAAGGAACAGTTTCCTTCAGCTTCTTTGTTGGACACCTATTCAGAACATATGCTGATGTGGCAACATCTTCTCCCCATAACATGTGAGGTAACTTCTTCTCTTTCAGCATACTTCTGGTCATATCAAGCAAAGTTCTATTTCTTCTTTCAGCAAGACCGTTGTGCTGAGGAGTATATGGAGCAGTAACCTCATGTTCTATTCCATTCTCCTCACAGAACTTCTGGAACTCTGTAGAGTTATACTCACCTCCACCATCTGTTCTCAGAATCTTCAGCTTCTGACCACTCTGCTTCTCAGCCTTCACCTTGAACTTCTGGAACTCAGTAAACATTCCATGCTTGAACTTGATGAGTGTTACCCATTTCATTCTTGTGAACTCATCCACAAAAGACACAAAATATTTGTTTCCTCCAAGTGAAGGTACTGGAAATGGTCCACACACATCAGAATGTACTACTCCCAAAGCATGCTTTGCTCTGGGGGCTACTTTTGATGAAAATGGCAATCTGGGTTGCTTGCCTTTCATGCATATCTCACATGACTTATGAGGCTTCACAATCTTCGAAATGCCATGTACGAGATTCTTAGAACTTAGATGCCCTAACCTTTTATAGTTCAAGTGCCCCAATCTCTTGTGCCACAGCTTACTGTCAGCTTCAGCGCCTTCTGCACTAAGACACTCCGCTTCAGAAGTTTCTACATTCACCTTGAATGTTTTGTTGCTTCCCTGCTCATACTTCATAATCAACTTCTGATTAGAATCATACAACGTCAAGAGGTTGTCCTTCATAACCACTGAAAAACCTTTCTCAATAAGCTGACCCACACTCATCAGATTGCTTTTAATTCTAGGAACATACCAAACATCTTTGATCAGAATGTTTTTTCCATTCTTCACTCTGACTCTAACATTTCCCATACCTTCTGCATTAAGGTACTTATCATCAGCACATATGATCTTTGTTCTCCTTCTGGAGTCAAAGTCTATCAGCCATTGTTTGTTCCCAGTCAAGTGGTTTGAACATCTAGTGTCCATATACTACCAATCTTCTGAATATTTTCCATCAGAATCAGAAGCCATCAGTAACACATGTTCATCATCAGAATCTTCTCGGGCTATATTTGCTTCTTCTGATTTCCTTCCTCTGTTTCTACAGTCTCTGGCAAAATGGCCAAACTGTTTACAACAATAACATTGAACCTTCTTCTTGTCATACCTTTCCTTTCCCTTTTGATATTTCTTTTCATCAGAAGTTGAGGTTTCTAACTTCTGGAATTTATCACCATGTCTATTCTGCTTCTGATCTTTCTTGACAAAAGAAGCTTTCAGATCTTGCTCCACTTCCCTCTCAGAAGTTCTTTCAGTCAGACGCAACTCTTACGCTTCTAGACTGCTTTGCAACTCTTCTATTCTCATGGTTTCCAGATTTTTAGAATGTTCAATTGAAACAACAATGTAATCAAACTGAGGAGTAAGTGACCTCAGAATCTTTTCTATGATTACCTGTTCAGAAAGTGTTTCTCCACAAGCCTTCATCTCATTAGTGATCAGAATCATTCTGGAGATGTACTCAGAAACTTTCTCACTGTTCTTCATGCTGAGATTTTCATATTGTTTTCGCAGGGACTGAAGCTTTACCTTCTTTACTAATACGTCACCACCATAACATCTGGTCAGTATATCCCATGCCCCTTTCGACGTCGTCGAATCAACAATCTTCTCAAACACATTTTCATCCACACACTGATGGATAAAGAACAGAGCTTTCTGATCCCTCTTCCTCACAACTCTTTCTTCTGATTTTATTTCTTCAGTAGCATCTGCTGCAACTGGAACATAACCTTCAGAAACAAGATCCAGAACATCCTAAGAACCAAACAGCACACGCATTTGTATCTTCCATCTGTTCCAGTTTTTGCCATCAAAAACTGGAAGTTTAGTGTTCAAACTACTGCCTCCATTCATCTTAAACCTTGCACAAAATCTCAGATCTCAGATTTCTCACTCAGTGTTTCCCAAACCCACAGAATCAGTGTGATTCTGTTTCAGATTTTTGTTCAAGATTCAAAAATCAAACACACAACTCACTATCACTCGTGTTTCCCAGAATTTCAGAACAAACCAAGAACTCTAGATACCAATTTGTTAGTGCAAGGTGATGAAATTGAGAAAGAAGAGAGAAAAGTAATAAGTGCTAAAAGCTGCCACTAATGATTGAAGGAAATTGATTGTATTAAATGTAAACCTAGTACACCTATTTATAAACAAAGTAGAAAGATAAGTATGCCACATAGGGCCTAAAGAGAATATCCTACATATGACAAATACTAAATTACCCTCTAATAATTTTCCAAATCGACCCGACCACAACAGCTAGATCATAAAAAAAACTCTCTAATCTTGTACCCTCTACTCATGAGAATAAACATCTCTATTAAACTGCTCTGATGTTATATAATTGAGCGAGTACTCCTTGTACTCTTTTTGATAATAAATCCATAATCTATAAAAATATTTTTTTGCACGTTATATTATTAAATAAAATTCTATAAATTCTTTTAAATTGTATAGATCTGATATAAATATGATTGAATTTATATAAATTTTAACTAATAAAAAATGTGACAGATAATATTATTAGCATTATTTTCTAAAAAATTAAGCCCTTTAACAAAATTTGTCATTAAATTTCTTCTATGCAATTGCCTTAAACAGTCAATCCTTGACTCTATTTGCTACACTATGCTCTTCTACACCCAATAATAAGGCTTCTTCAAGAAGAAATGTAAGAGAAAAAGTTATAGACTTTCTTTTTAATTGAAATCTATCCCCACTTCCCTTCCCCCCAACACCATAAAAAAGAAAGAGAGAAAGAGAAAAAAAAAAAAGGCTTTTTAAAAACAAGATCAGTCAAAAAAATGTATTCTTTTCTTAACAGGAACGAATGTTAGGGTAAAAGTAAAACAAAACAATTTACCTAAGACAAAGTTATGTTTGTTTCATTAATTAACATCCAAACAAAATCATTAGTGTCCAATGTGGAGTCACAATCAGATAAGCAATGGACCCTATTTGAATAATAAATTTTTATTAACAACTACTATTTTTTTAAATTATCTCAAAAAGAACACACTCAACAAATAGTTGAAGTTGAGCTCATATTAATTAATTATACAAGTAGTTATCACTAAATAAAAATAAATATAACAATAACACTATGAAAAAGCATTATTAGGTAGACTCAAGTAAATTATTAAGATTTGAAATGAAAAAGTGACCAATAAACGCCACGCCACTATGTCCAATAACTTTAAGAAAAGTTATCAAATTCATTATATCAAATCAAATAATTAAAAAGTAGCATTTAAATAATTTTACTAATCCACCCTTTTCCCTAATCTATATAATGTATCATCACATAAATAAAATCTTCCATATATTCTATCATTAACCCTTGCTACCTTACCTTACACCCTTGCTTCAAAGGTATCTTGAATCAAATGGATCTTAACCAGATCAAGAAGATTCAAGCCATGAACAAGTACAAGTCACACCAATTTCTAGAAAATCTACATTTCTATTCCTTAATAGCTTTAATATGTAGTTTTTTCTGTTGTGTCACACTTTTTTTACCCTATCTTTCTACCCTCTTGGTGTATATCACAAGTTTGATTCCTCTTGTTTTGAGTTCAAAGCTCTTATTCATCATATGCAACATCATAATATTTGTCCTTATGATAAACTCGAAAATCATTTCCTCGGATTCATCTTCGAATTCTGATGTTTACTATGATGAGTATATTCAAACTACTCAAACTACAAAGCCTATGTTTCAAAGTTTTGAAGTTAACAAAGGTGAAACAATGTTTGAGAAGTTACATGTTGAGGAGAGTATTGTGAACATGTTTGAGAAACATGTTGGAGAGAACACTATGGAGTTAAAGAGAAAAGTTTGTGTTAAGAAAACTACAAAAAATTGGGAAGCCAAAGAAGACGATGATCATGATTTAAATACTTTTGTTGCTGCTTCTGATGAATTGAATAAAAGGGCTGAAGATTTTATTGCAAGAGTAAATAGGAATAGAGAGTTTGAACTTCTTCGTTGGAAAAATGGTAGTTACTAGATTACTTTGTAGTAAAGGGTGCAAGAGTTTTTCATGTATAATGTCTTTGTGTGATACTACATGTCTAGTGAGTCAATAAATTGAACAAACTTAAAAAACCATTAATAAGCTTAATGGTTTTTGTTAACTATTTTTGATTAAAATCCAATCTTTAACTTTTTGTTAGCCATTACATCTAAGTTGTTGGCGCATAATTAGGAATAAACATAAGCTTTACTTAATTAACAATTGAGGAAGATATTAATTAATTAAAGTAGTATTTAATTATTACAAATGTCTACAAGTAAACTTGAACTATATTCTCAAAACTATAATATCAAACTCTAATATCCAACTAAAACATCATGATAAGTCATAAACATAAGCTATGTACGGGGACTTTAATTCTGATTTTTCCTTGCCAAAAAGAATTGGAGGGGGATGGCTTTGTCCATAATGTAAGTAATATTGACTATCTTGAGTACAATAGTTTCATCTCTGAGATGAATTTGTTTGATCGTTCACTTTTTGATAGGAGTTTTATTGGGTATCAGTCTTTTGGTGGTACAACAAGTCATCTAGATAAGATTCTTATATAAGATAGTTGGTAGGAGTTGTGGGAGAGAACGCCTCAATGGGCTCTGTCTAGAGTTGTGTCAAATCACTGTCTTATCATTCTCAAATATTCTAACCAGTCGTGGAGTCATAAGCTTTTCTGTTTTAATAATCATTGACTTTTTAATCCTCTTCTCCATAAGGTTGTTGTTAGTAGTTGGTCTAGTTCCTAGTTGTCTAGTTTAAAGACTTTTATCTTGAAAGAGAAGCTTAAAGCTCTAAAAGGTGCTTGAAAACTTGGAATCATCAAGTTTTTGGTGACCTTGATTCCCATATTGCTTTCTTAAGGGAGAAGATTAATTCTCAAGATACTAGAGTAACAGGGTGGACTTTTGGCGGGGGAAATTAATTTAAGGAAGAAGGTTGTCTAAGATCTGCGGTCCCTTCTTTGGATAAAAAATGTCCATTTTTTTAGAGATCAAGTGGCTTAAAGAAGGTGATGCAAATGTTGGTTACTTTCATGCTTGCATCAAGAGAAGGTCTAGAAGGAATAAAGTTTTAGCTCTTAAGATAGGTGATGCTTAGGTAGAATGGGTGTCTGGGATTCGTCAAAAGGTATTTAATTATTGTTCTAATCATTTTAGAGAACCTCTCACTGATTTGTTTAAGTTGGATAGGGTCCCTTTCCCATCTCTCTAGAAGGATGATTGTACTAGTTTTACAACCCATTTTCTCCTAGCTGAGATTAATCAGATTCTTGCGTTGTGTGATGGAAATAAGAGTCTTGGACCTGATGGGTTAAATTTATTCTTTTTAGGAGGTTTTGTCCCTTTATACGAGAAGATATTGGGACTATGTTCGAGAAATTCCATCAACTTGCTTCTCTTTCCCATGGGTTTCTTCTTTTCTATTACCTTGATACTTAGTGTCGATTTTCCTTCTCATATGGGAGACATTCAACCTATCACCTTGGTAGGGCCACTTTACAAATTCCTAGATAAGGTGTTGGTGGATAGGCTCGTTGGTGTTATTGATAAGCTTTTTTTAACCAACTAACCTTTCTTATGGGTAGGTTTCTAGTATATGGGGTTGTTGTTGTGAATGAGTTAATGGACCTAGCTTAGTGATGATTTCTCGACAAGTGTACCAATAATATCACAGTAATAAAGTAAGATCTTATCCACATGGACTGCTTTTTAACAAAACGACATTTGTGCAAGTTTAACAAGTAACAAATGGGGGGGGGGGGGTCAATTTAGTTTGCAAAAAATAAAAGTTGTTATAAAATAATGAGAAAACACTTAGGTTTTGCAAAGAATCCCCTTATTTCTCCTATATTGATGTTTAATGCATTACGTGAATGATAAAGTCATTATATTTCCACGACGAATCAACAAAGCCACTATACTCACTCTCTTGGTGATAGCTCACTAATTTCTACTAGTGGTCGTATATCCCTATTCAACCAGCGTAAGTGAAATTAGGCAATGCAATATTACGTTAATTCAAATGTCACTACTAAAGGTCTCCTAGCCATATTCAACCAACGTAAGTACAATAATCGCCCTAGTTCTAACACATAAACTAAAGGCCAATATTCCCTATGCTCTCATGCGCCCATAATCAGATTAACAGAATATCTCAAATAAAAAGCATTAAGCACAAGAAGAAATTAAATAGAAATATAACTTCAGTTATTCATGTACTGAAAAATTAAACATATGTCTCAACAGGTTCAAAATAAGTACATCATACAAAACTTATCCTATAAGAGTTTAGCTACTCATACTGATACACATAAATACCAAGAAATAAGATGAATATTACATGTGAAAATCCTTAAAAAGATGGCCTCTAATGGCTTCCAATATTCTCAAAATCACACTCTAAGGTACTCTTTTCCGTCACATTCAGTCAAAATTTCTAGAACCCTTAGCAAGATGCCAAAAATCCCCTTTTAAAGGTGTCAAATCGGTTCAGAACGCGTCAGAAAAATCCCATAAAAAGGACCCATCACACGTGTTATGAAAGCTTTCGCACGCACGATGCTTCCAAACTACTTATTATCACATGTGTGATGGCGCACAATGCTCTGTGTGAAGATCTGTTACGCACACAATTTCGTGCGATGCTCCGCGTGATTATTCCAATAAATTTTGCGTTTTTTCTCCTTTTTTCATTCAATTTTTACCAAGTCCATATTTGTTCATACTTAGTAATTTTTGCATTTTTCTTTGGCCTTTATACTTCATATTTCCTCATCTTTGACTAATTTTGCTCTAATTTCTTGACAAAATATACATAATGATTGAGTGTCATCACAACCCTAAACTTAATGTGTTGCTTGTCCTCCAGTAACTTGTCTACAACTGCACATTTCAAACAGAAAAACAAACTGCAATAATAACAAATGAGCATCACCATTTCAATATTTTTGTTACCTAATCATCAATCCAGTTACTGACTTTAATCTAGAAAATTCATAAAATCTCCTCAACCTTATCAAGTACTCAACCTGTCTCTCATCTCACTATGTCTCACTCAATTTGACAGGGTAATCTCTCCATCAACATGCAAAATATTTTATACTGAGTTTGATCGCATTCTAATAAAATTCATGAAGGTAATCAAAACACACACATTTGAGGGCTTTTCCAGTTCTAAATTTTTTTGAATTTTTTATGAAATATCTTTAGTACCCCAAACCCAAACTTAAACTTTGCTCACTTCCAAGAGAAACCCCAAACTTATTATTTTTCATAAGACATGAAAACTAAAAACTCTACCTAACTCCAAATATAGGGTAGGAATATTTAATCTTTAAAGTCTAATGGCTAAATGATAAGGCTATGTCATTGAAATAAAAGGCTAAGCTCAAAGAGGTTAGTAAATGATATTTGTAATATGGTGGGAGAACTGACTTGGTTGTTTTGCATTTGATCGCAATTCTTGTTGATAGCAAGAGTCGCCACCGACTTTTCTTTTATCCAATAAGGAAAGGGTGAAAAAAGTAGGAAAGACCTTTGAGATGTTTTCTTGAGTTCGAGGGTAGATTATGAAAAGGGAAGGTGTTAGCACCATTTTCATCCATGGTTATCTATGGGCTCTTAGTTGCTTGCTAGATCACTTGAAAATGATTTGTTTGAAAATGTGTTTTGTGATGGGTGTAAGTTTGAAAATAGTTTTCAAAATGCCTTTGTTGCGAATAACTTTGTAATGATTCTCGTCTCTATAAGAATGCATACAAAGTGTTGGTTTTGAAAATAGTTCAAAGAGATGTTTGTTTTTGAAGATGTTTTGAAAGTGTAAGTGTGGAAATGGTTTTAGTTTAAGAGCAAGCAACTACGAGCGTCATACCTACTCAAAAGGTCTATGTTATTTTCCTCCTCCTTTAGATGTTGCTATCTTACCATTGATTTGGTAAGAAGCCCCATCGTTGGATGTGAAGGGACGGGCGTGGGTCAATCTTATAGCCATAGAAGACAACTTATGAGACGTTTTAGCAATTTTCATGAGGGACTAGATCGTTTATCGAATGCAACATCGAGGGTCTACGATCTTTTTATCGAGGGTCTTTGCTAAAATGCCCATATTCGAGGGACATGACTATTTTCCAAGGTAACAAGTGAGATTATCCTAGAGGTGCACGTATGAATAGTTTGTTTGATTACATGCATTTTTGTCTTTGAATTAGAGTTGTCTAGGATTGATTTTAGTCTTGCCATACACACCTAATTTACTAGCATTTATATGAAAGCGGTAAATTGCAGAAAGTAAATTTACTACACTATTACATCATTTAGGGATGGGGTGTACAAATTTACAAATGGGGATTGCAAGAAATTAAATCCTAATTATCTATTACAACCATATTAAAACTTGAATAATGTACAAGGAATATAATGTACAAGACAAAATGGAAAAAGGAATAGATTTGTTTTGTTTTTGTTGAGAAAAGATTTTTATCCTAATTAACTAAAAGGAAATTTAATTAAACTAAAGAAAAATTAAGATTAAATTAAAGAAAATAAAATAAATAGGAAAATGTTTTCCGGGCTTTTTTATTGTAAGAAGTTAAATAAAATAAACTAAATAACCTAAATATATTTTTGGTGTTTTTGTGTAGAAAACAGTTTTTTGTATTTAAAACAGTTTTTGTGTAGAAAAACAGTTTTATGCTTGGGCCTAGGGTCTGTTTGTAAGTTAGTAAGAAGGGGGTATAAAACTGTCGAAGCCCAACTGTGGAGGCCCATGTGTGTTTCCTGCAAACAAGACAAAGTGAGAAAATATGAAAAATGAACAAAATATCTCACCGGGGCTTAAACCCATGACCTTCTACAATGGCAAGGCTTTAGCACGCGTTATTTGTACCACTGGGGTGGTCTGTTTCATCCGTTGGTTATACAGTTTGCACTAAATATAAAATAAACTCATGGCTTCATCTTCTTCCTTCGAGCGCAGGGATG